GGGTAACAAAGGGTGGTACGGTGAACACACTCTCACTGTGATGCACCTTCAGTTAGCTGTCAGAGCCTCATTGGTCCAGTGATGAGCAAACGCAGCTTTTTTACGTTTTTATCCTCCTTTTGTTTGTTTTTTTTTTCAACATTTGTTTTTTGCATTTTGTTTTACTTTTAAATTTTATTACCTAAAAACTTTCAAATGATTTTTCTACAAAATCAAATTTTTAATTATTTATTAATTAAATTATTATTCTAAATAAAAATAATTTATTAATTTATTAATTTCATTAATATTAAATAATTTAAAATTTTTTATTATATATATTTTTTAATTTAATATTCTTAATAATAATTTTTTTTTACTATAATTCATCTTACTATTGTCATTGCTTTTTCTTCCAACTATATAGTCAATAATTGATTTTAATCTCATAGTTATAATAACGAATCTCACTTTTACTTTTATTTTTAATTTTATTAAAACTAATCTCACAGTTCATTTAAATAAACTTTTAATTGGCATAATCATCTAATCTTAAAACTATAAAAAATTTCTAAAATATCAAAATTATTTGATATAATATTTATTTAATTTAAATATTTGAACTTTTGATTAGCAAGTAGTACAAATGTATAATGAAAAATAAAGATTACATATTTATCTATTGCTTATTGGCTATTGATTATTGGCATGGCATGACTTAACAAGTTTAGTTTTAATTTTTAACTTTTAAGTTATAATGTTTAATTTTAAGTGTTAATTTTATATATAATAAAGACAATTTAAGTATAATCTATATACACAAATTATGCTATAAATTTTTTAAATTTTGTTCATATATATATTTTTTACAAATGAGGCTACAGCCTAAAAATTGAGAGAATAGTTATAGATGTTAAAATTTAAATTTTAAATTTATCAGATTTCACATCTCAAAGATAATTATATGAATCAATTGTGCTAAATTCTAACTTCAAAAATTTATTTATTTAAGATAACTAATTTTAATACTAATTACTTATACATTATAAGACTATTATATTTAATAATTAAAGTATATAAATATAATAATATTATTTTACCTATAAATTATATTTTATTTAAAATGACTAATTAATATTTATATTTATTACTTAATAATAAATAACAAATTAATAAAATTTTACTATAAAATTAAATTAGTTAATTGATCATTTTTTTTCTTTTGAAATCTTCTTTTCCTCCAAAAGAGAAAATGTAAAATTTTAACAAAAACAAAACAAAAATGACAAATTTAATTTCACCCTTAAATTTAAAATTAAATTATTTTAAATTTGAATTAATTTGTATTTAGATCAATTTCGGTTCATATTAATTTAAATTCAAGTCAATTATTGTTTGAATTAATTTGTAAATCAAATGGATCATTTGAACAAGTATAATTTTATCTTTATATATTTTTAATTTGGTTTTAAAATATCAAGATTTAAAGTGTATACAGATCAAGTTACTCACCCCTTAGCAGCTAATGAATTCGCATCTGGCTTGACTGCTGGAATTTCCTGGGAAGCCTTTGTATATTACAAAAATTTTAGTAGCTTTCTCCCAAATACTAAAAAAAAAAAAAAAAAAAATGAGATTGAGACCCGCTATAGGTCTCATTAGAACCCGGCCCCTGGAAAGAAGATGCCTCGTTGAGTCTCACCTTCACAGGTCTGTTGTAAACAGAGGGCTGTATGGGTGAAAATCCCTGCGGGAGTGACTGTGCCCTTTTTTAGTCCCTTGAGCCTGGGCTTGCGCCTTTATGCACTTATAACAAGTTCTCCAATGAGTTGATTTGCTCACGAGAAATCCTTCTATTCTCAGTTTCGGGGTGAAACTAGACAGAAGAGGAGGTTTCTACCCCCATGAGTACATGGCGTAGCTCAACTTTGTCAAGGACTTGAACATGATCTTTTAGGCTTGGACCTAACTAGAAAAAAATTTTACATTAACAAATAATACATTTTATATTAAATTTTAATTCTAAAATATATATTAACATATAAATATATTTCTAATATTTTCGTTTGTCTTAGTTTAATCCTATCCGTTAGACACTTATAGTAAAAATTAACAGTGAAAGAAACATTTAATGAGAAAATATAAATATTCTAACTTTTGACTATTTTTAAACAAATTAAAAAAGAAGAAATACTAAAATTTATTATACTTACTAAAATATGGGCGGCAAATTTCATCCATTACTGTTTATAAAGTGATAACGATAGACCTTATCCCGGAAGAAAAAGTATAAATTCTTTTTAAGGCAAATGCACATTAATTCTTGTAAGGGACTTTTAACTTTATATATCCATAAAACGATAGATAAAAAGTATCCCTAAATACTTCAGAAATTACAACTATAATTCATAATAAAATGCCAATATTAACTTTTTTTTTTAGTTTATTACCTATTGCCTGCTAAGATTGAGATGATCAGATGAAGCGCCCTAACTTCTAGGCCTTGGCTACCATCTACCTTCTCTTAATGATGAGGTTAATTTCAAATTACACTCTAATTCAAAGTTGATTTTAAGTTTAATCTTTCTCTTCTTGCCCATCTCCTTAAAACTATCCCATAAGGGATTAGTTTCTATACACCTGTCCAATGTTACAAAACTACTATTTTAATCTTAATTAAAATAAAAAGATCAATGTAATTTGAGAAAAACCAAGAAAAACACCCTTAACTAAACTCCACTGCCTAAAACACCACTAAACTCAACCCAGCTTTTATCATGGTACAGCTGTCAATCACTAAAACTTAACTCCCGTCAAATCTCCAACATTTCAAATTTTCAATGACAAAAATTTTGAAAAAAAAAAAAAAAATATATATATATATATAATAATAACAAAAATATTAACAAAAAATAAAGGGATAACAAAAGTGGGGGTTTTGATTTGTTTGTTTTGGCTTTGAATTTTTGGATAGAGTTTTAAGATTTGAAATGGGTAAAAAATGAGAGAAATAGGAAAAAAAAAAGAATAATCAATAATGATGGCTTGGATCAACAAATAACCCTCTAAAAGGAAGCTTTTTTAGGAAAAAAATAATTAATAGAAAAAAGGAAGTTGGGCAAAGAGAAGAGAGAACAGCAAGAAAAGGCAATAAAGGACAGGGATTTAGGCTTTAGATTTTCAGATTCTAAAGCGTTTTCTCGAAAAATAATATGTAGAAAGCTAAAAAGATAAAAGGAGGAAGATTATAAAGTTTTCGTGCAAGTTAATCGAAAAAGAAAAGATTAAAATATGGTTATGATTTTGATTTTAGAGAGATGAGAAAAGTAACAATGGTGGGAGAAAGCTGAGAAAAGACATAACGGATTAGGAATTTTTAGTTAAAGGGTTAAACAGAACCATTGAAACCAATAAAAGGAAAAGAAAAAAAGACTAAAAAAATCCAGTGCGTTGGCCATAAAAAACAAATACGTGGCAGGTAGGTCCAATTTTTTTTATTGAAAGGGATTAGCCCTTTATAAGTAAATCAATCTAACTGAAAAAAAATAAATAGTTTATTTTTATTTTTTTTAGAAACATTTTGAAATCATTGGAAATATTTTTTAAACTTTTATTTACATAGTTATTTTATATTTTACTTTAAATAGTAATAATATAGAACCAATATCATTAATAACATTATATTAAACTTATTCCCATTGAATCTAAAGTTTTTATTTAGATTTTTGAGCTTCAATTTTTAAACAATTAACACTTGCCATAAATAATGATTTGAGGTTTAATTAATGTATAAAATTATATGACAGTTGAATTTGACTTTGTTATTATTTTTATGCTTTTTAATTGTTTGTTTTTTTCTTACATTAAAAATTAAAAAAGGAAAGAGTTTTATGAAAAAATAGATATTACGTGATCAATTTTATTATGTAATTTATAATAACTAATATTAATAATATTAAAACATTTAAAAAATATTATTTAAATAAACAATTAACATTTAATTTGATTCAATTTAAATTATTTTTAAATATTAAATAAATATTTATATATTTAAAAAATCCTTGACCGTTTGAGTCCTATACTAATTTTTGCCGAAATATCTAGATTGAAGCATTAGCCTAGAGTTAATAAATCCATTTCCTAAACTAATGATTCCTAAACTAAGGTTAAGAATTAAAAAGAAAAAATCCTCAACAAATGTTTGTCTAAATATGAAAAATATCATAAGAATTTGAAAATGCTTGATGTTTTTGACCTGCAATTTATCTTATCCTAGAGATAAGCAAGAGAAAAAAAAAAAGAAAAAGAGAGCAAATGACAATTTTGAAAAGTAAATGATAATTATTTAAATAATAAAATTCTTAAAAATCATAAATAGTTAATTTTTTTAAAAAAATTTTTATGTGAATTTTTTTTAAAAATTTGACTCAAATGATAAAAAATTTAAGATAAAATTTCAATAATAATAATAATTGAAATTTAGTTTCAAGCCAATGCATTTGTATTATATAATTTATAAATAATTATTTTTTATATTTATTTTTTAATTTGTAAAATATGATTATATTAATATAAATATAACTAAAATTCCTCAACAGTACGAGGGATATCAACTATATATATATATATATATATACATAAACTTGCACCAGATTCCGATTGCAGTGTCTTTTCCGTTTAATTGGACAAAAGATAGAAATTAACAACCATACAAAAATTCGCCAAGGCAATTAGCTCTAACCGTTTAATAAACATGTAACATTTTGTATGTTATATTGCCCCTGTTAATTTTTTTACATAGGATAATGTCACAAATAAACTATGAATTATAGTAAAATTTTTAATATAATACATAAATTTTAAAATTTTTATGTGATATCTAAATTATAAATCTATTAATTAATTTAATATTTATATGACTGTTTAACCGTAACTTGTCATTATTTAAAACTAACAACGTTAAAAAATTTTGACAAATTAATAATCAAATATCACATTAAATATTTTTTAAATTCATATATCACGTTGAATATTTTATTATAATTATAATTCAAAAACCAGTGGTGATCTACATACAAAGATGCTAAGCTGAAACCCAGCCTCCTAAAAAAAGGAGACAGATGATCACCGTTTATACTTCTATGTGAAGCCTAAATCCCATCCAATATACATTCCTAGCTCTTTCGATTAATAATCTACTCCTCATGAATCCAAGCTATGATGAAAAAGACAGGAAGCTGACATGCTTAGGCCTTTCAAGTGGAAGCTTCTCCATCTCAAAGCCACCATGGAAAGAGGAAGACTCATCTTCTCCCATGGTCTCTCCATTACCAAGATCGTTTAAAGCTCTTTTTGCATAAACTGTAAACGCAATTGTGGTAACAATTGCTATGATGAGGGAGACAATATTGTATATAATTTCCACAGCTGTCAAGTGATGGTTGCTATATTTAACAACGGCTACTGTCCTTATTAACCGACCACTGCACAAAGTCGTAAACAGTTAGTTGACAGAAGCACCCCGGCATAGAACATCAAATTAAAGCTGAAAACTTATACTTCAGGACAGTTACATAAAATCTTGACCTTTATGTCAACTGAACGGTAGACAATTAGTTTCAATCTGCTAGAACCTGAACTTCATAAAGTTCTCTAAATATGACTGCTTCTTCTGTAATTCTGGACTCGCAAAACTGGTCAATGACACAAAATCAATTTTAACTTCATTACATACTGCTAGGGTCAGATGACATGGCAGCATGATTGATGTGGCCGAAAATTGAAATGCATTACTTGTTTGCGAATTGCAATGCTTTGGCCATTGGCATTTTCTTCTTTTCTCCTTCCTCATTTTTTCTCTCCTTTCTTCAGAACATTGAGCAACTCATCCTCAACCTCCTTGCCATTTTCCTTCAAAACCATCCCCCAACTGCCAGCAAAGGTGATCTCTCCTTTCTTCTTTCCTTCTCTCTCCATTGCTGCAATTAGTTTGCTCCAAACAAGTCCCTTCCCTTGTTTCTCGTCCTCCTCATCTTTACCTTTTCCCTCAGTTTTCCTTGTGTTCGCTTTGATTTAGCCTCAAATGTAACCCCCAGTTCTTTTCTCCACTCTCTTTCCATTTCTCAACTTCTAATTTCCACTGCTGATAGTTATGGGACATGAGGCTTGCAGTTGGATTGGCATTAACTATTTGTGGAGCTTATGGCATCAGGGCATTGAAGAGGATTGGTGTTTTTTATTTGTTTTCGCTTTGTAACAGGGGATTTAGCTTTCAGGTCACTTTCCTATAATAGGTGATAGCATAAAGGTTGGGAAGCAGCAGTTTTGCACTGTACTTGATGGTGGTCGACTTATTTTTGGTTCAGCTTGATGGTGTCTGGCTATTGTGATATTATGGTGGTGGTATAGGGCAGTGGCATAACCAGAACAGGCAGTATTTGAGGGTGGGTTTTCAAAGAAGCAATGTAATACCATAACTAGCAAAGATGTGGCAATTTTAACTGCATTCGCAAATTATGGTAAAGGACACCATCTGCTTAACTTGGCACCAAACAAGGAACAAGGTTTGCATTCACTGATTGACAATTGCAAGCCCCTACGCTATTTTAGACCTCATTTGGAGATACGAGGACAACAGGCTCATTACAACAAATTAATAAAAAAACTTCAGGGACTCCTAACAAGCTTAAACCTAGAACCCGAGTACTATAAAATTAACATGAGTTGTTCAAATTGCATACCTGTAGATATAAATAAAAGCTTCTGGAATCATTCCAGTAATTGATCCAAATAAATAGGGCCAAAACCTCAGGCTGGTTACCACAATTGCATAGTTGAAAATTGTGTAAGGAAATGGTGAAACTCTAAAGAGAGCAACCACTCTAAATTGATGGAACCAGCTTCCTTCTCCTGCAAGTCGAACCATAGCAGCTGTCTGGGGCCATTTCTTTAACCAATTCTGCACATGCAAATGAAGAAAAAGATCAAAGACAGTAGGAATGAAGATTAAGTTTCCTAAATAACCAGTCAACATTAGCTGAAAACAAGTACAATTCTTACATGAATACGGTCACGAAAAAGCAGTCCAATCAAATAAGGTAGGACCATTCCAATGGTTGTTCCAGCCATAATTATGAGGAACCCAAGACCATAGCCAAAAATCATCCCAGCCAACCACATGGAGGGACCAGAAGGTATTAAGAACACAGGAAACAAGGCAAGAGAAGTAACAAGCACAACAGCAAGAACTGGGCGACCAAAGGAAGTTGCTTCCCATTGCATTATTGGGAGAAGAACCTATAGTTAAATTGAAAATTCTTCAATTTCAGTTGTCACATGGTGTGTATGCTTAAAGGCGCAGACTTACATGACATGCAAAGCATAAAAAATATTATTATAGGAAAAGGTTTTAGGCATCCAAAACTGCCCATGTAAATTAAATAAGTCAAAGAATACCTGCATATCCTCTGGAAAGTATCTTCAAATGTCCTTTTCTTAGCTTAGGTTAAGGTCCATCTAATACTAATTTATATTTGAAATGTCATGGAAGCGAACATTTAGTTTCTAACGTATCCAATAGACATTGACTCTTCTGAACATTTTCCTTTGCAATGTTCTTATTATGGTTCTAGATATTAAACATTTTAAAGCCCAGTTAGTTTTGGAAATTGTTCTAGATTTTCCATCTGTATTTGAGCTCTAGATATGATCAAGGAAATAAGGTAAATAACAAAATTTGAAAATCCTTGTTTTCCAGTTTCTAGAAAACTAGACAAATTTCAATTTTCCAGAGAACTCAAAAGTCGAAATAAAGGGTTTTCACATTCAAAATATACCAATTTGCCTCAATTAATTACATTTTTCTTGTGTGCCCTTCAATGCTCTTATTGTAGTTCTAGATATTAAATGTCGAATGTTATCAAGAATATAAAAGTTGGGATACCAGCTCATCAGATGTGCAAGCAAATGGAAAATTCATTCAATAAGATGCCATAGAGAAAATAACCAACAAGTCTATTTCTTTCTTTTTGCAGGGATTAGCCAAACAACTCAAGAAAATTAAATACATGCAAGGAAACAATGAACAACACTTATGTCATATGTGAAAGTTAAAGTGATAGAGCAAGTAGAGAGGCTATCTATAGCAACTAGAAAGTACCTTCTCAAAAAGAAATGGCACCCCCCATTTCAAAACAATGAGAAGCAATAAAAGAGTAAAAACGCAAAAGACAAAGGCTTTGATCCACCAGATGAAAGTGTTACCCCTTGTGGGTGGTTGAGGTTGTAAGATGTCAATTGCTGCTGCAGTGGGTTCATCAGAAGTAACCAGCCTAACATATTCAATGTCTTCCCTCATATCATGCCCAGAGTTTGTGCTCTGTTTTTCTTGCTCCTTAGATGAATTCGACATCTGAACCCAAAAGCAGACACTTAGCACTATGGACATAAACATGAAACCACTCAAACTGCAAATCATGTTGTAAATTAATCAATGTTAGAAAATTAATCTATGCCGATTGCATGAAACCCTAATTCTAATACAAGAAAATCATCTATGCAAGAATCAAAATCCAGCCCGCCAACCCAAAATATCTTCATATTCCTTGGCATGTTTTTTTTTTTTTTTTTTTTCCTTTCAGAATCAACGGTGAAAGAGAAATGAATGGAAAATTTAGGCTACTTTACCTGTTTTTCTTTGTCTTTATTGTCAACAATTAACAAGTTCCAGTTACAAAGGCGTAGGAGGAGAAGCAACAGCCAAGACGAGCTCCTGGATCGGTCTGTCCGTCTGTCTGACAGGCGGGTGGTCGGAGATCCGTTGGTTTGGTTGTTTTTTGAACAGAGTAAAAGTATGGGTTAATTTAAAAAAAATAATAAATAAAGGTTTGGAACTTAGAATTTTCCTAACACGTCTTCCAAAGCTTTAACAAAAATTTAAAATTCAAAACTTTGCAACAATTTTTCTTTATTCTAAAAAGAACATTTTCTTTTCTTCTTCTTCCGATTCCTTCTTAAAATAATCTTTTTCGTAGTCTCAGAATATGATTATAATAAAAAAATAGTATATGATTAAATAAAAAAATTTATATCTTTTCTCAAAACAAATGATTGCTTAAATCCAGTAAAATTCAATTTAATTGCCACTATAAATTTCCATCGTTATAATACACACATTTAATGGCATTTTTGACAAATAAAAAAAATTTATAAGGTAGACAAATTTTTTGTTTCTCAACGTTCAATATTTAAATCATGAAAACAAATTGTCATTATATTTTTGTTTTAGTTTTTTTCAAACAATTTGACCAGTGACATAATACTAATCTAATATTTTTAAATTAATTCTTAGTCAATTATCCATATTTTTAATTTATATTTTACTTTATATAATTATTTATAACTTCACACCCATAAATAAATGTATTTTGACCCGTAAAGCATATGTTCTTCTTCAATTTTATATATCATGGACAAAAATTGTATGTTATTAATCGTTTTTATCCATCCCATGTTACATTTAGTCAAAAGCTTACGAGTTATTAACACAATAATAAACTAAAATTAAAATTGACTTAAATGCAAATGAAAACTCAATCACACTTAATCAAAATCTATAAAATTCATGCTATTATCTTTTGCTTTTCAATGCCACATCTAGAGTTTCGAGCAATGACTTGCACAATAAAAAATGAGATAAAGAACTATTATATATTTGAAACTAAAGTTATGAAACCTAATTGAATATTTGAAACTAAAGTTATGAAACCTAATTGACTAGTCTTATATATATATATATATATGTTGGTATTTACCGTTTTAGCCAAATCATATTTTAGCTAAAATATTGTCACATTTGTAGTACTATGATATTTGATATCTTATAAAAATTTTATTTCTTTATCATTGAGCTTGTATATATATATTTATGCTTAGATTATAAAGTTCTTGGAATATAAATAAAGCTTTGCAAAAGATTGTTGATGAGACCAGCATATGGTTATGCTTTTACTTATGAAGTAAGTAATTGATTTCATAGGTTGAAGTTTAGATAAACTTGAATTAACATGTGAGTGCTTATTACACTAACAAATTCACTAAATATGATCTGATATGAAATGCTATATGATAGTTAACATAATGTCTATGGTTACATTCTCATGTGATGGTTATATAAGTGATCTTTTGACTTGAGATTACTTATGATCTTATATGATGAATATTATACTTTGACTTTAATTATGATTCTAACCAAGAATGCTCTAGTTAAGTATTGTTGGGTATAGCATAAGGCAAGATGCATGAAGTAATCAAGATAAGATTCATCACCTTATATGATTAAAAGAGTATTTCAACTTGTCTGGATTGAATTAATTTGAAAAATCTTTGGCCAAAGTAGAATAAAATTTTAGAACTATTCTAAAACTTGTTTGTAAGTTAATGTCAAGGACAAAACTTAACATAGTTGAACAAGATTGAGTAGATACCAAACCATATTCAATGTTCAAACCGAGATACTATGTGATAAAAAGATATTAATTATATACAAAGACCATTCATGGATAGGTTGTCAAGCCATATTGACTTTTCTTTAGCAATTTGGATGGCAATGAAGCTAGTATTGATCATGATCTATAAATATAAGATTGACTAATTGAAGAATTGGTGATGAAGACAAATAGTTTGTTTCATCTATAGCCGAATACTAAGGTTACAATGCTTTTGTTTATTACCAACATATTAAAAAACCTAATAGGTCGCACACAATTGTGAAAGATAAAAATTAAAACAAATTAAGTTGGACTTAATTTGATTTTGGTATGATCAAAAATTGAGTAAATAAAACAAGAGAAAAAGTTTTTCTAGTTTGGTACATTTAACTAGCAGAGGTTTAATTGTGAAAATTTGTATTCCAAATATTAAACCTAATGTGACCGAATGCATCCCTTATAAAAAAAACATCAAGCTGCCCCTTCTTGTTAATCAAGTAATAAGAAAAAGAAGTTTCACTCAAGAAAATACAATAGTCTTGCAAAAACTTACTAGTTATATTGTGGATTTGAGTTCTACCAAACCTTAGAGAAAGTTCTTTCATAAGAGCTTGTGTGGATCACCATTAGAGGCTGAACACTTGGGTAACTTCTTAACTTGGAATCTATTTTGAAGATAAGCAAAATTGAACCAAAGATTTTCAACATTCAAGGTAATACCTTTAACCAAAACTATGTATGCTTATATATGTATATTGTTTATATCATCTTATTAATTGATTTTGGCTTTAAAAATTTAAAAAAATTATGCTACCTTAATTCTGGTAATGATACATATTTCCTTTCAAGTGTTATCAGAGCCTTATCAATATAGATTATACAAATTAAGAGTTTGTTTGGTTGTTCATGATATTAAAACTGTTTTGATTGCAATATATTATTGTGATAAAAAGGCTAGAAAATAACTTTTTTATGTATTGTTTTTATTCGATTCTTTTAAAATATCAAAGCATGATATCTTAGGATGATTGGTATTAAATTTTATTATTTATGGATACGTTTGCATGCTTAATAAATTTTTTATTTGCAATCTATCTATATTAGAAAAATTCTGCTGTAGTGATATTACATAAATTGTTTCTTACTCTAGGGATATTATGTGGCTACAAACTTTTAACACATGAAAATATACATATTGATGATTGTTGTAAAAATTTTTGAATTTGTGGAGTTGATTTGATCTTTCAAAAGTTGATGATAAGTTCAGCCTAAAAATCTGCCAATGGTGGCTGGACATATAAAATACGCATATGGTGCATAGTTACCCTAATATGATTATGGTAATTAGTTTTCTAGATGTAGCTGGTATTCTTAAAAGTTAAGAGACTTTAAAAACTTACTCAATAAGATTTAAATGAAAATCTACTTGGTAATTAGTGTTAGGAATCCTAGGAAACTTGTTCACCAAGATTTCAAGATTTATTTTCTTGATCACCAAGTTTAGTGGACTATTTTTATAAAAGTTAAAGTAATTGCTACTTGCGATTCAAGAATCATGACAAAGGCATAAGAAAGCAAGGGAAAGAGTATAGGACTCTTGGATGGTGGCTAGTAGGGGCAGCATAGCAAAAGATGGCCAAACCTACCTAGTTTCCATAAAAAACTACCCTAGTCGCAACTTGCTTTCCATTTAGTATGGATTTTTAGCCAAGCCCTAGATTGGTGTTATTTCTTGTTCAATTTGGATTCCTAAATAGTTTGGATTTAAGAAATAAGATTTAATATATAATCCAAATTGAATTAGACTTTTTGAATTGTTTAGAAGTTCTAATTAATAAGAAACTATTTCACTACAACATCTAGTTGGACTAGGAAAATTCCAATGCATGTAATTTGGTTTGATTTTAATTAATTGACATTCCTAAATGGTTTAGAGTGATGTTGATCATGTTAGATTAAAATTCAAGTAAAATTATAATTCCTTTATTGTTTAGGAAATTATGATTACAAATTACATGTTCCTAAGATAATAGTTATACATATTTGGCAATGCTAGCTAAATACGTTTATGCTTTGCATCACATTGAATTGGATTGATAATTGATCATTGATATTGATATTGATTCAAAGAATCGATGTGTAAGATTATTAATTTGAACAAAACATTATGATTGTTGAAATATGCATGTTAGTTATGAGATAAATACCATTTATGCTATATTGATTTATTGTTATACATGATAGAATTTATATGTGATAAATGCCATGTATAATTATGAGATGCATGATAAGATTACATGCATTGGATATATGATGAATTCTTTTGCATGCTTGATGAAACTTATGATGAATAAAAAATCTCTCATGAAAAACATTAAATCTTGATGCCTTTTATTAGCATTAACAACTGAACTTTCTACTAGTCGGACTTGTTGAGACAAAACTCAAGGTACTCATTATTCGAAATAAGATGTGTTATGGTTAATGGGTCTTACTTAACTATCATTGTATTACCCGAATACAAAAAATTTGATCGTGTAAGGATATAGGCAATGATTGGGCGAATCACATAAGATTTGATTAGATAAGGAGTTGTCACCCCAATTGATCTATGAGTCACATAGGGATGTGATTGATAAGTTATCTACATAATTTACTTATCATGGCTTGTTGAGAGTAAATCTCAAGGTTATGATAAACTAAACGGGATCCTAACCAACTAGAAAAATATGATTTTTTTTGAATTGATAGTGAGGGCTATTAATTTGATTAAAATAGTGAGAGCAACCAATATATAGATTTAAACCTTATCTATATTGGTATTGAATAATATGACTAATACTTGTTCAAATTTATAGTGCAAAATGAGTAATAACTAATCGCTTCATAACCTACTTGATGCTAGCAAGCTCTAGGGCCTAACTTCAATAATTGGTATCGTAATCTGAAGCTTGTCCCAATGCAAGAAAAAATGCTTTATGTTCTTAATGAACTGGTTCCATCAGAATCAGATGCTAGTGCTGATGATGTAATGTGGTGGGCTTATGAAACCCATAAAAATCACATTGATCAAGCCACATGTATCATAATGGCTAGCATGACCTCTGAGTTACAAAGGCAACATGAGAATATGGATGCTCTATAATCATTTTACACCTTAAAGAGTTGTTTGACAAAAAAGGGTGACCTAAGAGGTTTGTGACCTTTAAGGAATTGTTTCGAACAATGATGTCTAAAGCATTTTAGTCAAAATACATTGCCTTAAGATGATCAATTGGACTGAGAAACTTGGAAAATTGAGGTTTTTTATGGATCATTAGTTAAGTTGACTTGACCTTGTCATATTTTTCTTCTAGTTTTTCATAATTTGTAATAAACTTCAATGTGCATCAGATGGAAGTAACATTACCATAATTGATGAATATGCTTAACACTGCCAAAAAATCCATTAAGAATCAAAGGTGTAAGGCTCTTCTAGTTTCTTCATCCAAGGCTAAGAAAAAGT